ATACTCTTGGATGTTTAAATATTTGAGTGAGTTTCTCTTAGTGCATAGGTAATAAAATTTAAAGAACACACTAAAGTTATTCGTTTAGAAAATTCAAGCTATTCTTTTTAATTTTTTTCATGTCATATGGGGTCTAAACTCCAAGCTATTCCTTTGGAAACAAAGGTAGCATTGTGCCAATACCAAAAAGATAATCATACCATCACTCTTGAAAAATTTAACTGCGTGTCTTAGAGTTTAAATGTTTGTACGTTTAATTATGAATTTTTTAATTAATGTATTAGATTTCTTTAGCATTTAATTCGTAAAATATTCATATCTTTTGAGATTTTGAATTTAAATATTTTTTTACCTTTATATGTAATATTAAAAATGAAAAAAAAGTTAATTTTTGGATATTTTTTGTCTATAACAGCCAAAATATATTCAAAACGCCAAATGCTGTTATACGTGTATAACAGTCATTCACTATAAAAGCCAAAATATTTTGGAACAAACGATACTGTTATAGAGATGTTTCACTGTATATGAAAAATTGCAGTCACATATGGTATTATTTTGTGATGACCCAAAAGGGTCATCTTATGTTTTAGAACTCGAATCTGTGCTCTTAAGCCTTAAAAATCTCATTTTACCCTCCTCGATTTGTGTGCACAGTCCGGGCAGTTTTCCGAAAAGCTTTTATGTTGAAAACTAATGAAAATAAAAATTTTTGCCTTAAAAGTTGATTTTAGTTGACGTCGGTCAACATTTTTGGTAAACGGGTCCGGATCCATGCTTTGACGGCATCGGTAGGTCCGTATCGAATTATGGGACCTGGGCGTATGCCCGAAATCGAATTTGGAGGTCCCTAGCTCGAGTTATGAATTTTTGATGAAAATTAAAAGTCTGAAAATTATTTATTTTTAAGAATTGATTGATATTTGACATTGTCAGTATCGGGTCCGTATTTTGGTTTCGGAGCCCGGTACAGGTTCATTATGATATTTAAGACCTGTCTGTGAAATTTGGCGAGAAACGGAGTTGATTTGACGTGATTCGGACGTCCAGTAGAGAAAATAGAAATTTTAAAGTGTTCTTGAGAATTTCATTTGATTTGGTGCTAAATTCGTAGTTTTAGGTGTTATTTTGGCGATTTGATCGCGCGAGCAAGTTCGTATGATGTTTTTAGACTTGTGTGCATGTTTGGTTTGGANGTGCGTGTTTGGTTTGGAGCCCCGAGGGCTCGGGTGAGTTTCAGATAGGCCACGAGATGTTTTGGACTTTAAAAATTTGGTATTTTGCTGCAGCAGGTGTTCTGGCATGTCCTTCTTCGCGTTCGCGAAGGTACTCTCGCGAACGCGAAGAGTAAACTGGGCAGCTGAAGTTTTCTTCTTCGCGAACGCGAAGGCTTTGTCGCGAACGCGAAGCGATGGGGGCATTATCCTTCGCGAACGCGACCAACTCCTCATGAACGCGTAGTGTTAGGAACACCTGGGGTAGGGTTGGTCGTTCCTTCATCACGAACGCGAGCAATGCCTCGCGAATGCGACGGCCAGGGGGGAGTAACCATCGCAAACGCGAGCAGGATCTCGAGAATGCGAAGGCTTGGCAGCCAGTACCCTTCGCGAACGTGACAGTGGCCTCGCGAACGCGATGCACACTCTCGCCCAGTGCATAAAACAGAATCAAACACGAGTTTAAACCATTTCTTTAACATTTTTCAAGAACTAAACGGGTAGAGTTGATTTTCAAGAGTCATTTTCTTCCCCAAAGTGTTGGTAAGTGATTCTGAACCATTTTTTTTCAATTACCCATTACATTTCTTGAATTATCAACCTAAAATCTAGAGTTTTCATGGTAGAATTAGGGGTTAGGGTAGAAACTAGGAATTTTAAAAATTTGGGGATTTAGACCTCAATTTGAGGTCGAATTCCAAAACCAATTATATATTCAGGCTCGGGGGGTGAATGGGTAAGTAGATTTTGGTCCGAACCTCGAGTTTTGACCAAGCGGGCTCGGGGTCGATTTTTTGACTTTTTGAAAGAAAATTTGGGAAATTTAATTTATGCAATATAATTGATTTCTTTAGCAGTATTTGATATTATTAGTCATTTTTGAATAGATACGAGTGGTTTGGAGGTGAATCCCAAAGGAAAAGTTGTGATTGAGAATTAAGTGGCCTTCAGAGTGAGGTAAGTGTTGTGTCTAACCCTGACTTGAGTAATTAGGAACCTTAGATTACTTGCTAAGTGAAATCCATGCGAGTGGCGTATATGTGAGGTGACGAGTACTTATGCGCCGCCAATTTACCTAGTTTCCATGTTTCTCTGTTTTTCTTATATTGTCTCTTTCTTATGCCAAATTGCTACGTGTTATACTAGTGTTGTTCAATTTGTCGTTCTTATCATGTTTACGAATTTTTTGGGGATAATTGAGTTTTTATTTCAAAGTTGAGATTGATATTATGGAACCAAATGTTGAAGTAAGGTTTGTACTTGTTATTCTATCTCCCTGTTGTTATTTATGCATTGCATTATGGTAAGGGAGAGTGTTAATGCACGAAGGGTGATGT